CATCGTCATCGTCATCGTCAGCATCATCGTCATCATCAGCATCATCATCATGATCAGCACCAGCTTCATCATTATCATAACCATCACCATCGTCATTATCAGCATCATCATCACCACCAGCAGCCTCAGCATCATCGCCATCGTCATTGTCATCGTCATCGTCATCATCAGCATTATCACCATCATTATCATCATCAGCATCATCACCACCATGATCATCATCATCATCATCAGCATCATCATTAGCACCACCACCACCGCGACCACCACCATCATCATCATCACCACCACCACCATCATCATCACCACCACCACCATCATCATCAGCATGGTCATCGTCATCGTCATCGTCATCATCATCACCACTATCATCCTCACCATCATCATCAGCAGCAGCATCATCAGCATCATCATCATCACCGCCACCACCACCGCCACCACCACCACCGCAACCACCATCATCATCACCACAACCACCGCCATCATCATCATCATCATCATCATCATCATCATCAGCATCATCAGCAGCATCATCATCCCTTCCTCTCCTCCCTCCTGGGGCACCCCCCCGAAGTCCCCCTTCCCCCGTCTCCTCTCCCTCTCGCCCAAAGTCCCCCCGCTCCCTGGCGCGGAGGCGCCTGCCGCTCCGTGGCCGACAGCGCCCGCCGGGCCGACGGCCGCTCGACGCGGTCGGAGCCTCCGCAGGACCACAACGACGACGACGACGACGACGACCACCACCACGACGACGACGACGACGACAACGACGACGGCGGCGGCGGCGGCGGCGGTGGCGACGGCAGCGAGGTGGAGGAGTGGGATGAGGAGGAGGAGGAGGAGGAGGAGGCGGAGGAGGAGAAGGAGGAGGAGGAGGAAGAGGAGGAGGAGGACGACGACGATGAGAACGACGGCCCCAACGTACTTCCCCACTTCCATCCCTCTGCTTCGCTCCCTCCGACGGCGGCAGGAGAGCGGGCCGCGCGCAGCGGCCGCTCGAGCGCGCGCGGTGGCTGCGTACGGTGACGCGGGAGTGTGCGCGGCACGCCAGCGTTGCCGAAAGAGAGAGAGAGAGAGAGAGTGAGAGAGAGAGGGAGAGGGAGAGGGAGAGGGAGTAGGAGGAGGAGGAGGAGGAGGGCGACGACGAGGACGAGGGCGAGGACGAGGGCGAGGACGAGGACGAGAAGGAGGAGCAGGAGGAGGACGAGGAGGAGAAGGAGGAGGAGGAGGAGCAAGAGGAGCAAGAGGAGGAGGAGGACGAGCCGCTTGCCCGACCCCGTCCCCTTTCGTCGCACGGGGCGGCACCGAGGCGGCGGCCAGGCGCGGCCCTCACGGGCCACTCAAGGCCCGCGATGCCAGCTTCGGCTCTCGTGGCCCGCTCGGCCTACCTACCAACCCGAAGACCCGAATTTCAGGTTGGGGGGGGTACGGGCTTCATGCGTGTTTTTTTACAAAAAAAAAAAAGGTCAGAGAGACCTTTGGTGCGCGGTTTCGGGGGAGCCGCAGGGGGACCAAACACAAGCGCGCAAGACGCTACTATCGCACCGTGCTCGGCGATTGGAAGACCCCAATGGGCGCGCACCAAAGGTCACTCCGGCGAGGGGTCACTCTTACGCGTAGTCGAACAGCCGACATCGCGGACCAACTGGCCCGCTCTGACTACCTACCAGACCACCCCAACCCAACCCGAAGACCCGAATTTCAGGTTGGGGGGGGTACGGGCTTCATGAGTGTTTTTTCCATGTTCCCCCACCACCCCCAACTGGAGATGGAATGCAAATTGAGGCCGTCGGGTTGGGTTGGGGTGGTTTGGTGGGTAGTGACGCTCGGCCCCGCATCAACAGCGACATCGCGGACCAACCGGTCCCGCAGCCCCGCCAGGCACAGGCGGATGCGGAGGGCGCGTGCCCGACTCGCGAGCTCTGCTTCGCGTAGCCAGCGCGAGAGCCTCACGCAACGACCACCACAGCGCACAACATCCTCCGCGACTTCAGGCTGCCACAATGGCGCCGAAGGCCGCACCCATGTACCAACCATCTCTCCGACCGACCACGACCCAACCCTCCTCAAAGTAAGCAGCACGACATACAGTCCAGCCAGCAGCCATCGGAGCGACGAACACCCTAGTGCTGTGCACTCTCGGAACGGCCACTGCTCGCCCCAAGCCATCTGCGCCTCATCACAAGCGGGCGTAATGTCGACTCTGGCGAAATCATTCACAAAACATTCCCTCTAGAACCAGTGGCTCCAAGCTCAGCAGCGGACGACGTGATCTGCGCCTCGCAACCCTACGAACAGGTAAGCTCGCATGTGCAATGGTACGCTATGGGAAACAAAGTAGCAGCACGGTAACCTTTCAAGTAAGCGGGGCTACGCAAAGATCAGCTACGCTATGTCAACGCCAGACTGATTCCTCCGTTCGCTTGAATGGAGGTCAGTCTCTGTTTTACTACTATACCCCTGGGCTTCTCTTCCCACGGGCGCTTGCCTAGGACTCGTTCGT